GAAGGGCTGAGAATGGGAGACGGAACATAATTCGGAATGAGGTACGCAGCGACATGTGCCTTGATTTGCATTAATTGGATGGATGTCATCGCTGTGCAGGTACTCGTTTATGTCGATGATATGCCTGCGTGGTGAGGTGCTGTAACGACCCAAAGAGGAACCAGGTACGCAGCCGAGTCATTCACCAAAGCGACAATGAATGAATGGCACGCTCAATCGATTGTGTCTGCCGGTCTATTGGTCAGACTCCCTTTCCTCCCTCTTCTCAACTGACTGAGGCGGGCGGCCCCTGACGGCCGCCGGCCTGTCTGTCCTGCCTAGCTGCCTATCAGAGGGTGGATGGGGATAATGGCTGGCCGCAGGTACGTTGACAGGGCTGTGCACGACGACAGCTGGCTGGCGGGCAGTGCACACACAACATCCACTCATCACAACATACACAAAAAACGACAACGTGAACGATTGCGTCACTGCCACCCAAATCGGCAGGAAAAAGAGCACACACACATGCAGAAGTGCGTATCGAAAGAATGAAAGGAACCAAATGCATGTGTGACGCCTACACGTTCCGCGAGACAACACGGCGATGAGTCTCATGCAGCGCTCGTAGTGAGACACACACGGATATACGGATCGGTAAAGTGTACGACGTCCACGCATCAAATTCGACGACACATCCACCTCTCACTGCCCCGCGTGCAGCACCTCTATTTCATCAGCCGTGAAGTACTCTGACCCACCCAACAGAGTATGGCCGAAAAAAGGGGAATCGCCATCCTGTTCCCTCACTCCCATGTAGCCCACAGGCACATAGTTGCTGTCGATGGCCTGAGCGCAGCGGCGGACGTCGGCGGCGGGCCGGCCACTGTCACGACTACCAGCCCCCAACCACAGAGTCCCACCGATATCCACATTCGCACCCGCCACATCCCCCTCCCTCCCCGCCACCGCCATATACTGATCCAATCGTGGTATGTCGATCTTGGTCGGTGCGGTGAAGTGGCCGGCCAGTGAGGACAACCACACGTGACAGAGGTATCTGCGATAGCTGGTGGGGTCGTCAGGCAGCCAAATTCTGGCACTGATGAAGGCGCCGAACACATACTGACTCTTCTTGATCACCAACACGAGAGGCTTCGCGTAGCCCACATAGCGGAGCAGGTCGCCGTAAGTGGTGCCGTGCACAGACGCCCTATACACACACACACACACACATACACACACACACATGCACACATCTCTCTCTCTCTCTCTCTCCGTGTGTGTGTGTGTGTGTGTGTTGCGTACCGGTAGAGTGAGGTGAGCTTTTTAGTGCCGTTGCCAACCAGGCCGAGCAGCCCCTCATACTCTGACGCAGACAGCGACGTGCCGGCAGGCAGGGATGCCTATACAGAGGCGTGGGAAAAATCAGCGAGGTTGCACACCAAGCATCGATCGAGTGAATGGGCGGATGGCGTGTCTACATACCTGTTCCGTGTCCACCTGCAACACCTCTATCTCGTCAGCCATGAAGTCCTTCGCCCCGCCCAACACAGCATTGCCATCCTCATCCTTCTCTCCCGTGTAGCCTTCAGGCATATCGTCGCTGCTGGTGTACTGCCGGCAGCTGCGGATGTCGTCAGCCGACGGGTCATCCCAAAAGGAACGGCCACCGTAACCCAGACTCAGAATCTCACCGCTACCGATGAACACTTTCGCACCAAACACACTCCCCTCCCTCCCCGACGCCCACACAATCTGCCCCACATACTGATGCAGTGGGACGATGTCTATCTTGGTCGGCTTGTCGAAGTGGCCGGCCAGTGAGAAATCCCACATACACGACATCCTGTCGAGCGCCTCTTGGTCGGGTCGTCAGGCAGCTGGATGCTGCAATTGATAAAGGCGCCGAACACATACTTGTCCTTCTTGATCACAAACACGAAAGGCTTTGCGTCGCCCATACCGCGAAGCAAATCACCATAGGTAGTGCCGTGCACAGACGACCTACACAGAACACACACAGACGGGGAATCGTCATGCCCTGAACAACTGGCAGATGTGTGTGCGCACCGGTAGAGTGAGGTGAGCTGTGTGGTGTCATTGCCCCCCAGCAGGCCGAGCAGCGCCTCATACTCCGACGCAGACAGCGACGTGCCGTTCGGCGGTGAGGCCTCCTGCACGCGACGCAAATGCACCTGAACAGACGAGTCGGCCATGCACAGCAAAGCATCGAATGAATGAATGAATCTGTGTGTACCTGTTGTGCCTCAGCGTCTTCTACACAGGTCGACGCCACACAGATAAGCAGCATGAGAGCAGCACTGTGCGGGGTAGCCATCGCGTGAACTAAGGAGAGCGAAAGAGAGGAGGGTTGTTTCAGTTCGGCAGTCAGAGGGAGTCAGAGAGGAAATCGGATTCGTGGCGTGGCATGGGAGGGGGGTGTCTGTCCATCCGTTGTGTCTGTGTTCCTGACTCATCTTGTGTTCCTCACTCATCATCATGTGGGACAGCGAGCTTTTGAGGGAGATCGCGCTGGGACGTCGACGGATGGGTGGGGTGCAAGGTGGATGGATTAGATAGTGTGTGTGTGTGTGTGTGGACGGCTGGCCGGCTGACCTCCGGCAGCATGTCGGTCATGATGCAGCATGTCGGTCATGATGTCGGGAATGTCAGTCCACTCGCCGTCGTCATCGCAGCCGTCCTCACACACATACTCCACTTGAGGCCTCGGCCTCGCCATTGCCGCCGCCGCACCACCTGTGGGGCTGCCCCGCCCGACCTGTCTCCCTTTTGCTGCTGCTGCTGGTGCTAGTGGTAGCGTTGCCCTTCTTCTGCTGCTGCTGCTGGCCCCTCTTATCGACTCAATTCACATGGAAGGGCTCTCCCCCGCTGCACAGCTCCAGCAGCTCCAGCAAGAGGTCCCCTGACAAGCCGCCATCCCGCGGTAGGTAGAGAGGAGCTTGTCAGCGCCTTCGACGATGTGCTGCATAGCACCATTCTGAACGTGACAAGAAGGCGAGAAGGCAAGTTTGCTTGGCGAGGTTAGTCACGATGTAAACGAGGCACGACTAGAGGCCGTCCCTCCCCGCCGAGACGTGGGGGCGGGTGGGCCATTCTCGACGGTCGACATCTCTCCTTCAATTCCTTCGACGTCTCCCTCCCTCCGTCGGTTGTGTTTGGTCACCCAGTTGTGTCGTGGTCACCATGGTGTTCCACAAGCACGAACCCATTACCGTAACTAAGCCGTGTATAGCCTCTGTGCCAGGGTCAGCTTTCTGTGTGTGCTTCTGTGTGTACACAGGTGTGTGCCAAGGGTAAGCGTAGTGCTGGGTGCTTGGGAAGCCACACGGGATAATATGCACGAGCCTCCCCGCTCTCCGCCCCTCCTCGCTCCTGTGCGGGATGGAGGCACTGTTGGCTCGTTGATGGTGTGGTGTAGGCTTGAACTACTGGATCGTCAAGAAGACTCGGCAGGGTGAGGAGCGGACGCAGATCATCCACGATGTCGACCTGATCGTCAAGGTACGCAAGACGTTCATCCATCGGTCCATCCATCCATCCATCCACCCACCACATACATACACACACACCCGCAGGCACCCATCCCTCTTGTCTCGATGTGTGTTCTGTGTGTCTGTTGTGACTTGTGATCCAGCCGGGCCAGCTGCTGGCCATCATGGTGTGTGAAGGAGGGGAGGCATCCATCTCTCTCTCTTTGTCTGTGTGTGAATGTGCGCAGGGTCCGTCAGGGTCGGGCAAGACCACCCTGATGAACCTGATAGCAGGCAGGGTCACGGGCGGGGAGAGGGAGGGGTCCATCTACTTCAACGGCAAGGTAAGCATCCCCACACAGCGATTGACTCGCGCATTGCAATCCCTGTGTGTGTGTGTGGGTGTGTGTGTGTGTGGGTGTGTGTGTGTGCGCGCGAACAGGCGAACGCGAAGAATCGGAAGAAGTTCGTGTCCTACGTGATGCAGAGCGACTGTCTGCTGGAATTCCTCACAGTCGAGGAGACCCTGCGGCTCAACGCGACCCTCAAGCTCAAACACAAGAAGCCTGAGGAGAGAATGGAGCGGGTCGAAAAGGTCATCGCCGAGCTAGGTAGGGTGAGACGATTGCCAGCCACTTGGGAAGCGATGGCTTGTGTGTGAGTGGGACACTACACTTTTTGTGTCTGCGTCTGTGGGCGTGCAGGTCTGCAGAAGTGTCGCGGGACGGCGGTTGGCGGTCCGATGAAGAAGGGCATATCGGGCGGAGAGAAAAAACGCGTCTCCATCGCGACTGAGCTGCTGGACGACCCTGCACTGCTGTGCCTCGGTAAGAGGGCGAGAGAGAGGGAGAGAGAGAAAGAGAAGGAGAGAGAGACGCGTATGTGTGTGGGTGTGTGTGTCTTGTGAACGTATATGCTATGTGTATACAGACGAGCCGACGTCTGGTTTGGACGCCGCGCTTGCCTACGACATGCTCAAGCTTCTCGTGCAGCTCGCAAAGTAAGCATCTGCAGTGCACGCACAACAATCAAACCACATCATACCCTGCACCGCACCCTTCCCCCCCTAATCTGTCTCTCTGTTCAGAGGTGGCCGCACGATCATCTGCACCGTCCATCAGCCGGTCAAACGTACCTCCATGCCTCCCTCAATCCACCACTTAACCTCTTTGTGTGTGTGTATGTCTTTGTCTCTTTCTGCGACATCAGAGGTCTCAAGTGTTCGCCCTCTTCGACCAGCTGCTGCTGCTTTCCCGCGGCCGAGTGGTGTACCAGGGGCCCGCCGTGGACGCCGACGCCTATTTTGACAAACACGGGTACGTCTGCCCGGCGCACTTCAACCCTGCCGACTTTCTGCTCGACATCCTCACTGAGACGGTACGCTACGCGAATGTGTGTGTGTGTCTGACGGATCCCATACCTTCTATGCGATGACTGTTCTCTCATATCTCTGTGTGTGTGTGCAGCGTGCCAGCGAGTTGGGTGAAAAAGCCGACAACGGCAGCAGCAAAATAGCACCGGCACCGCTTGGCGATGAGGAGGGCAACAACGACAAGGCCACCACTGAGGACGGGCCAGACGCCCAACCAGATGCTCCTCCAGACGCACCACCACCCCCGGCTGCAGACAACCATGGTAGGTGATTGCTTACTTGCAGCCACATAGACCGACCGCCCTCCATATCTGTGTCTCCGTCTGCGTCAACGTCCATGGCAGCGCTGCTGCCGTCGGGGAGCAAGGGCCGCATCAACATCACCGGCGCCGAGATCGAGCGCTTCCCAGAACTGTTCCACCAATGCGACCTGGCAAAGAGAATCGGTACTCGTCATGCACACTCACACCTCTCCCTCTCTCTCTTTGTGTCCTCTCGGTGTGTGTGTGTGTGTGTGTTTCGCAGAGGACCAGGTCGACAAGGAGCTGGACAAGCGCTCGGAGGGCGGGATGACGGCCGCACCGCCCAAGAAGATCACACTCGAGTCGGTCAAGCAGACGCTAAGCGGCTTCTGGCTGGAGGTCCGTGTGCTCGCAAAACGGTGAGGAAACGAGACTTTCTGTATCTATGCGCAGGCACACATAGACGGAGACAGCGAGAGAGAGAGAAACATGTGTGTGTGTCTTCGTGTGGCGCCCATCTGTGTGTGCAGGACAGTGCTCAACAGTGTGCGCAATCCGTTGAAGGCCATGGGCGACGTCAGCCAGAACATCTTCATGGGCTTCATCCTCGGTGCCATTTTCTGGTCAGTCAAAGGGAAAAAGACAGAAAGACCGACTGATTTGACTTGATTTGTGTGTATGATTTGTGTGAGTATGATTTGTTTGTCTGTGTTGCAGGCAGCTGGGCGACTCAGGCCTCTCCGATGCCCAGAACAGAGCTGGAGCGATCTTCTTCATTGCGGTCAACTTCGCATTCGCGTAAGTGCGTGTGGATGCCGCAAACTCTGCCTCTCCCTTTCTGCCTCTCTCTCTCTCTCTCTCTTGCAAACAGCACGTTCTCTGTGATGATGACATTCGCCCCGGAGAGAGCGCTGCTCAACCGGTCGGTGTGTGAATGTGTGAATCAAGGACACAGGGAGGAGGGAGGGAGGGAGACACAACTCCACTGCTCTCTCTCTCTCTCTTTCTCTCTGTGTGTGTGTGTGTGGTGCTGTGTGTGTAGGGACACGGCCAACGGCATTCACGGGGTTTTGTCATATTTCGTCGCCAAGGACATCGGGGAGCTCCTCTTCGTCCACGTAGGCAACCCATCCCACCCACTCACTCATTCACCCACCCAGTCACATACACACAGCCAGGCAGGCAGACAGACAGGGAGGGAGAGGCTCATTTCGCCTGTCCCTCCCTCCCTCCCTCCCCTCCCTCCCCTCCCTCCCTCCTTGTCTGTCTCTGATACTCAGTTCCCGCCGACGTGTTTCTGCGCCATATTTTACTTCATGGTGGGTCTCCGCCCCGGCATCGTGTACTTTTTGAAGTTCCTCCTCATCTCCAACATCACCGTCTTCGCCTCGTTCGCCCTCATGGTCTCCGTCGCCGCCGCCTCGCCCTCGCCTGACATAGGGAACATCTTCATTGGGATGTTGATGGTCATACTCATGGTGGGTGAGTGAGTGTGTCGGTCAGTGTGTCTGCAAAGCGGATGTGTCTTGGTCTGTTGATGGGCTCTCTGTGTGTGGGGTGTGTGTAGTTGACCTCTGGGTACTACCTGAAGGACGGGGACATCCCGCCATGGTGAGTCAGGCAGACGGACACGCCGTACGATGTGGACT